ACATTTTAAACAAATCTGACATAAATTCCGGGACATTCCGGGACTTTTTATATAATTTTCAGGGATATTTTCCGGGACATATTTTTCTAGCTAATTATAATTAAATGAATTGTATTAAAAACTATGTAAAATATATTTTAATTGAATATTTGCTTTAAAACAAATTTAAAGTATTAACACTTGTAAACCCAAACGCTTTAATAATTTTTAATTTCTATGCAAATGCTTGAAAAAATAATGTTTTTACTTTAACCGTCCCTGTCCCGGTCTGACCCTCGCCGGGACACAGGACAAAATGCTCAAAACCGGGACTGTCCCGGCCAAACCGGGACGGTTGGTCACCCTATCCATATGGTGAATTCAAATGAGTTCTGTTTAGGACGACTGAGGGGTAGGCAACTTTATCAATAGGCGTTAGTCCTCTTAAATAACCCCGATTATCATCAACAGTAGTGTTAACACTGGAAAGTGGCGTAACCAATGAGATACCAGATTTAACCCCTCGATGAACCGACCGATTGACCATCACATGATTTGTTACTTGAATATTAAACCGATTTGTATTAGAAAAAACGTCATACTTGTTGACTACAAATCGGAAAGCGATGGACAGGTAGTTAGCCATCAGTATTATAGAGAAGCCGAACCATAGGCTCACATTACTGCCCAAATAGGACACAAACTCTTCGAGTAATATCTTCGGCGAATGAGTGTATATAAGATCCGGCATTTCTGGCGGAAACACCGGTATAAAGAAGCCGTCGGTGGGAAGCCATGCGAATCGTCGGAGGCGTATCGAGTAGTACTCTTCGTGACACTCGGAGTGTATACCACACGAGCGCCGACACGTCTCGCCTAATCGCGCGTCAAATGAGAAGTTTTTACGATAGTCGGCGAAGATATCGTACATTAGATCTTTTGACTCCGTGTCATAATTCAAGTAATTTCCCGGCCATAAGCCATCGGCTAATTCCTGGCGCACGACATCCACCCGACACTTATCAATACAGTGAGTCCGGGAATTATAGCCGCGGCGCCGATAGTCGTGGCAATCGGTTTCGTATGGGGTTTGCATTGAGTGCACAATTATCCTCCGGTAGGCGATAAAGTAAGTGACGTGTGAGCGTCCGATGCGATGCTTCGGGACGTCGGCGAACTCGTGGCGGTAAAAGTTATTAATCTGTTGCCGTCGAGAGTGGGCCGAGAAGTAGAGGTGTTGTATATTTGGGTCAAATTCAATGAATAACAAACTTCTCAAAAAATCTTTAAATATCAAATCGTTTTCTACGTTAAAGCGCCGGTCCTTCACTCCATCCGATTGCCAAAATATGGTGAAACATAGTCTACAAACACAAACATGTTACATACTGTATTACATTTTTAACTCTATAAAATACATTAAAACTGCAAAATAACATTTCAAATTATAAACTAGATTTAAATTTACAGTTATATCTGTTTGAAAATAAGGTTAAATACAACAAACCTGTAATAATCAATGGATTGGCGAATGTTTGCGATGCGATTGCAATCAATATAAGGATCAGTGAGTGTCTCGTTAAGAAACAACTGTGTCCTAAACACTCGACACCGTCGGATGATTTGACTCATGTTATGTAAGGCGTGGAACTGATCCCGAATTGACAGTTTTGCCAACGATTGCTCAATTATAGCATCACTTATATCAGTGATATTTCTGCCGTAATAATCCATTAACTTTTTAGCGTATAGTGTATGCAAAACCTCCCGTTTCTCCATACAAACGGTGATCGCCGGCAACGAAATGATTGATATATTTTCGTATTCAACAAATGTCGTCGTTTTGTATTGGAAATAGATTTCGCATATTTTGATTGTCTGGTAAAGACATGACACAAAACAAACCCCAATGAATAAAATACGATATGTGCTATGAATTGTAAATCGTTTTGTTATATTGTTTAACATTGTGGTCATAATATCAATTAGAAACTAAAATACAAAGTAATACAACATACTCTATAAAATTTAAATAAAATAATAGTACTTTTTCGTTTGATTTGTACTAACATTTGTAAGATTGAGGTAAACAATTTGTTTGTCAATTAATTGTATTATAATTGTATTCGGATTTATGCAATATATTGATATTTTGGTGCAAAATATATGTAATTTTAATCATAAATAATTAATTCACATTTAAATTTATTTACACATAATATAATATTACAAAAACATTTAGTCGTAGCATAAGTTGTAAGATATACAGTATGTAGACACCAAAATGTTGCGATTTTGATGCTTTAGTCAAATTATTTTATTGTAAATATTAAAGTTGTGCACCAAAATCGCACCATTCTGGTGTCTATAATAATATAACAATCATGATATAACTTAATTAATTTATTCAAATATTTTTATGTTAGATTTTGCACTAAAAATCTCTCATAATATATTACAATATGTAAATAATAGTGTTATGTTTATAAGTCTTTTGTTTAACATGTATAAATTAGATTAACTTTTTATTTGACCAAGAAATACTACAAGTAAAGTACATTTGTACTAAGAAATCATAAAATACAAATCTGTAATATACATCAAATGCACATAAAAATATAATTAATAAAATTAATCTAGTTTTTAACTGAATACAATATAAAGTTTATTTAGACTTCAATGTATTGTATGAATATGGAAAAATAAATGGAAATATACTCTATTATTGCAATTCAATGCAAACATAAAAATCTATAATTTATCATGCAATTTAATTTATTTGAATACATAAATTCTATTTATTCTGCCTAAAATAAACATAATCTAACACTCGAGTTGTCTATTGTTCTAATACAGTATACTTATTGTCATGTTGTAAATAATTTAGAATATGGTAAAGAGAAAATGTCGATTGATCAGAAAATTGAAACGTATAATTGGCCAAACATTAAACACTTATAAATTCAAAATACAAATTATACATAAATTAAATGAAATTCTTGTGAATTCTTAATCTAAAATTATTAACTTATCAACAATATTATAATAATGTATAAAATGTTCAATAAAATCACATACAATCAAAAAGGATATCAAAAGTCATTGAAACGGTTATATGTCATAAGCTGTCTATCATTGTGTTTGTACCAAATCATACAATTGTGTGATATTTACTTTTCATACAAAACAATAACACATATTGAATACCAGAGCGTTTCAACGGTCTCTTTGCCCGCAATCACTATATGTATGGATAAAAAGTATTTATTACGCCATCAATATCTACACCTCATTTCCGATAATCAAACCATTGATCAGTATTTGTTGAATATGACAATTGGAGGGCAACTCAAAGTGTTGTACGATTTCAATGATTTCTTTAATGGATGTCGTGTTATTCCTCCGCATATCTTCGCGCAAACCATCGATTCTTACGATTATTATATCAATTGTAGCCAAATTACACCAATTAGACGGACAATTAATCACAAAAGGTTATTATTTATAAATTGTATACAAATAATACATTAATTATACAACCATTTTAACCTAATGACAATTAACATTATATTATTGTTTTTTCATACAGAATATGTTTCACATTATTCACACAATTAGAGGGCGAACCCAACGAGTGGTACGAAATGGACAACGATTTTGAATTCAAGGACTATATGCTGGACCTGTTATTTGTGACAATAACTGGTTGGGCCCCGAAGTACTACCTGGCCGTACATCAGCGCAATCTTATGGTCAGTAACTACTGGAGGACAGAATTTGTTGAGTTCTATGTCAACGACTCCAAGCATTTGGAATACAATCGGGTTATTGTGCGGACACTTCCCGACCCCTATCAAACTCATTGTCTAGACTACCGACGGGTCGGCTACAAAACTCGGGGCGATTGCATCGACAGATGCCGACTAGAAGAGGGCGACAGTGTATGGCCGGGTCGTGTGATTGGCCAATATCTAATGAGCAACGGATCAGAAGTGAACAAACGATTTGCCGAATGGGCTCCACATGAAATGGGAGCAGATTTACGGATCAGTCGACAATGCAAACGCCGGTGCGGCGCCCGAACCGAGTGCTACCGAGAATACTATCACTATTCTATGAAACCCTATTCTGAAACATTTTTGGGTAACTTTCTAACCATATTTCCGCCCCAAATACCTGACCAGATATACGCCCACTCGAGTCGTATGTCTTTCGATGAGTTTGCCGTTTTGGTGGGCAGTTGTGTCAGCCTATGGTTCGGTCTGTCATTCATTGCCGTTCCTCACGCTCTGACCCACGGCTATGGGTTGGCCCGAAACCAATTGCACCAACACTTCCACTTCAAACACTTCCCTACCAATGCCCGTAAATGTAAGGTTGCAAATATTAACACCTCAAATCTACCACATCTCCATTCCTGTGACCACATACAGAATATACACGTGTGAGTGATTTGGGTAGAGTTGTCATACAGTTGTATAATAGATAAATTACTAACTAACCAATAGGTTGTTCATAAGTGGTCAATCACGTCACGTGTATTGGGGTCAATAATTTTCAATCACAATTTATAACAATTACTAATTATTAGTAAATCAAATGATAGTTACAAACTGTGACTTGGGTATGTGGCATATTGTAATAAAATATGCCACAATTATTAATTTCATATAACTGTATTGTTTGTGTATGATTTTCTAAAACATAAAATTGCGATATATTTAATGTTATAAATTATTACGTTGTATTACCATGCATGTTTGCACGTTTTCAATTTAAACTTTAATTCTAGTTTAATTAGAAGCTTTAATTATATTTATTTAATTGAACATGCCGTATATAATACATTAATTATTCACTAAATTTATACTGTATCTCTATAAAGTCATACAATTGTATTACTTTATATAATAAATAATGATAATTAATATCGTATACAAAAGAATACGCTATAATTGTAGTCAAATTGTTTATTCAATAAATCACACTGTTGTATTCATTAGAATATTACGATGAATTGTGTGTTATTTTGTTGTGATTATATTAAATAGTCCACATAAATTGAAAACATATTTGAAAACATGTTAGAATGCGTTCATATATTGGGCAAATGCTCGAAACGAGTGGTGCGGATGAGGCCGTAGTTGTCGTTGCGATCGAGAGAGTTCTGATGAATGGGTCCGATATTACGGTTAATGTTGTTGTTGTTATTGTTGACAGTCCGGGAGTGCAACTGTACGGACCGTATGTCTGGTGTACCACTTTTACTCGTCAGTGTTGGTAGAATCGACTGTCCGTACTATACGTCAGTTAAATACAAATTAAATAATTACCATTAAATAGCAACAATGTATCTAAATTTGTGTCAATACAGTCTAACATTATTTGATATTTAAAATAAATGCTAAATAATTATCGCAAACCTTAGATCTCTGTCGAAACTTTGTGTGATTGGTGTCTTCGGCTGTGGACTCAATTTCGGGAATTTTTACATTTATGAAATACGGGTGCCGTAAGAGTAGGTCACAAATGGGTCGCTTCTGTGGGTCCTTATCGAGGCATTTGCGCAGGAAATCCATACCCGACTCCTCGATCTGTTTGGGTATTTTCGACTCCAACGGCTCGTGAGTCTCGGGCTCTGGGAGTGTGACGCCCGCGAAAAACTCATTAGTTTTAAATACAGTCATATGTCGGGGCATCAGATCGCCCACGGTCTTTCGTATTAGATACAGCTGATCCACGTCAGACTTTCCCGGCCACAGGGCTTCCCCGCGCTGCAGTTCGGCGGTCACGCAACCGATGGCCCAGACGTCCACAGCCGGGCCGTACTGCGTGTCACCGACCAGTAGTTCGGGCGCGCGATACCAACGGGTGGCCACATAGTCCGTGTAGTTCTCGCCCGGGTTTAGCGTACGTGCGAACCCGAAATCGCACAGTTTCACCACACAGTCTTTGGTCAGCAAAATGTTTTCTGGTTTAACGTCTCGATGAATGCACTGACAAAATAAACGCAATCATTAATAGGAAATTTTAATACTAATTAATAAGAAGGTAGTTAGTTTAATTATATGCATAACGTTGCAATTACTGTAGTGCAAAAATAATTTCTAAAAATAATTACTGAATAATTTAATTTATATTAAATACATTAAAATCATGGTACAACAAATTGTTTTATTAATTATATGATTATAACTATTATTAATGGTAAATTCCTTATCATTAGTATTATATTTATTAAAATACATTAGTGTTGATTATAATGTGTATTACAACGAGTGTTGTGTGATATTTATATACGGTATATGAATAGAAAATCAATCAAAAGTCTCCATTGATTATATGATGAGAATTTGAAGGACTTATGCTCTCTATAATATTGTTTAGAAATTGTTTTGTATTTTGTTTTTTACTCTCTATATACGAATTTATTTACATACATGCTCTTGTATAACATACTCTTTACGATTATTGTTTATGACACTGATGGCTAATTTTATAATTAAAATTGATTAAAGATTAGCTTAATAAAATAATCAGCATTAAACTTTGTATTACATGTGGATCTAAATATTGGTAACTATAAGAATAAAGAAAGTGATTAACGATGATTGACTGTAAAAATAACAACCTAATGATATATGTTTCCCTGAAAATATGGATCAATATAAAAATACTTTATTTAGTACTTCATATGAATTAAAAAATAATAAATTTATAATTAAATGCATATTCTTGGAAATCAAAAGACAAATTAAACATCAAGGACAATATTTGTAATAATAATTTTTATTTAAATGAATTTTACTTTTCATTCAAATATTAATTAATAATAATGAGGAGAACTCCAAGTCAAAATATATTATAATCAGGAGAGCGATGTCATAGAAATTAGCAATGCAATTTTAAAACGTGCACTTACTAATAACGTTACTAAGTTGATACTAAACTCTTCCCTTGTAATTACAAATAAATAATTAAAAGTAACCCCACCCATGTTATAAGTGTACACTATATATAAATCACCTAGCACAGTTTATATGCTAGCTGCCAACAGCTGCCAAAATATCTATCTGTAGATTATAATTATAACAATTTTTACTCATCACTGGCTCGCCTACGATCTCATAAAAATTACCATGTATAAGAAATCTTATTATGAAATAATTATGAAACAATTATAAATTCATTGTGGTAATCAAATAAAATTTTAAGTAGATTGTAAAAGATATATCGCAATAAGGTCAAAAAGAATCATATTAATACAAAATTTGAATTTTATTCAATAAATATCAGAAATTATAAGGTGAGTTTTGCAATCAAATAAATGTTGTAATAAAACCATTTCTTAGAAAATAAAGCCTAAATTTTTAATCACATCGTTATACTGTGGACTTTTTACTTTAAAGTAAATATTAAATTTTATAAAGACATTAAGTAATGACTTTTGTCTAAACTAATATAATTTATTTTTCAGTGATATTATTGACAATTAAATTATATGTGAAATGAGAAATGCAGTAAAAGATTACTAGATTATATTGTTTAGCAAAACTTAAATGACAATATTATTTCTATTATTATAATAATATAAATTATTTTATGCATCAAATAATTTACATTAATCAAAAGAATGGACATTAGAATAAATAAATCGTCTATATTATTATAATTTAAAAGACTTTTTAAGTCATCAACCAATACCAAAAATAATGATCAAGGGCTTTATTATAAATTTAAACAAACTATGATAGAAATCAAAAATACTTACATTGTGTTGATGACAGAAATTAATAGCGTTAATGGTTTGCCAGATGATTTTTTTAGTGAGATTATCAGGCACACCTTTTGGATATTTTTCCAGTATATCCAAAACGGTTAACTCGCAGTATTCAAATACCAGGTGCAGTTTTCGTTTGCGTCGAAACACCTCGATCAGATTTATGAGATTCGCGTGCTTTAGCAGCTGTATAATAATTATGACAAAAATTCAATTAATTAAATTAATTTATCAATTAAATTAAAACCAAATTATTT